GCTAGCTCATTACGTAATCAATGCAACTCCATACACGTGCTAGCTCGTTACGTAACCAATATAACTCCATACGTGCTAGCCCGTTACGTAATCAACGTAACTCCATACGTGCTAGCTCATTACGTAACCAATATAACTCCATACGTGCTAGCCCGTTACGTAATCAACGTAACAATCAATAAAACATATTTCAGATTTGTTCACATTTAATTACTGGAGGAATAATAATTAATTATTTGTGTATGAACTGGATACGAATGGGTTAAACATTACTAAACAACAAAAATGATTGTATAGCATAAATGTTTTGATAAAATAACAAAATGATAAGTATTCATTTCTTTATTTTTATTTTCTATATAATAAATATTATAAATGCTGAATTATTATCACATACAATTATTAAATTTGAACCATTTCAAAGTGTAAATATTTTATCTGTGCAACATTTTAATAATTCAAATATTACATTTACTGATACAAAAAAAATTTTCATTCATAACGTGAAAAAAGCACGCATAAAACGAAATAATCAACGACAAATTACGGATGCAAAAAATTTATTAAATCAACGTATTCATGGAAATTCTGTTCCACAGGTATTTTATATCTTTTTTTTTTAAATTATTTTTTTAAATTATATCTTTAAAAAAAAAAAAAAAATTTATTAAATCAATGTATTCATAGAAATATTATTTCACAGATATTATTATTATTATTTTTTTTTTTAATTATATTTTTTATTTATATTAATTATATTTTTTCAAATTATAATTTTTTTTTTTTTAAAAAAAAAATTTTATTAAATCAATGTATTCATAGAAATGTTATTCCACATGTATTATATTTTTTATTTATATTAATTATATTATTTCAAATTATAATTTTTCTTAAAACTAATTATACAAATATATATACATATATATAGTTTTTTTTTTGGGTGAATAATATTTTTACTGCCTAAATGAATAAATTAAACTATGCATAAGTAAATTTTATAAATTTTAATATTAATTTAAAAAAAAAACGAATTAAATAAATAAAAAAAGCATTAAAATGTTAATTTTTAGTGTCCATGTGTAATTAAGTCTAGTAAATGAATAAATTAAACTATGCATAAGTAAATTTTATAAATTTTAATATTAATTTAAAAAAAAAAACGAATTAAATAAATTAAAAAAGCATTAATATGTTAATTTTTAGTGTCCATGTGTAATTAAGCCTAGTAAATGAATAAATTAAACTATGCATAAGTAAATTTTATAAATTTTAATATTAATTTAAAAAAAAAACAAGAATTAAATAAATAAAAAAAGCATTAATATGCTAATTTTTAGTGTCCATGTGTAATTAAGCCTAGTAAATGAATAAATTAAACTATGCATAAGTAAATTTTATAAATTTCAATATTAATTTAAAAAAAAAATAAATAAATGAATTAAATAAATAAAATTATATAAATAAAAAAAGAGAAAAGAATTAAATAAATAAAATTAAATAAATAAAAAGAGAATTAAATAAATAAAAAAAGCATTAAAATGTTAATTTTTAGTGTCCATGTGTAATTAAACCTGGAACAGATAAATGCATCGCTTATGATTCTCGATATCAGGCGGCAACAATTGAAGAAGCGCTAGTGGCATTTCAAGATCTTACCATGGACAGTGATGATGATTTCAAATATTCTTCTACTATTATTGTTAGTTTTTATTTTTTAATTTAATTGATATAAAATTTTAAAAAAAAAGAAAAAAAATTTTTTTACATTTCATATATTTTTAATTTTTGAAAAAAAAATTATTATTGGACAGGGAAAAGAAAAAAGAAAATTAATTTTGAATGAAAAAAAAAAAGGTTTTTTTTACAAATTCGAAAAAAAAAAAAGAAAATTTTTTTGTTTGTTATTTTCAAATTAAAATTATTGCTAGTTTTTTTCTTTTTTTTTTTGCAAATCTTTAATTTAGTTGATATAAAATTTTAAAAAAAAAGGGAAAAAAAAAGTTTTTAAATATCATAGATTTTTAATTCTCTTTTTTTTTAATTCGAAAAAAAAATTATTATCAGATAGAAAAAGAAAAAAAGAAAATAAATTTGAATGATTTTTGTTTATTATTTTTTAAAATTAAAATTTGTATTAATGAAATAAAAGAGAGAAAAAAAAAAATTTTTTTTACATTTCATACAATTTTAATTCGTAAAAGAAATTATTATCAGATAGAAAAAGAAAAAAAGAAAATAAATTGAATGATTTTTGTTTATTATTTTTTAAAATTAAAATTTTATTACTATTATTTAAATTAAAAGTATTGAATAAAATAATGTGCAATATCAATAAAATATTTGATTTCAAAAAATGAATGCTAAGCTATTTTCGAATCATAAAAGGGAGAGAGAGAGAGAGAGAAAGAAAGAGAGAGAGAGGGGAGAATTTTAAAGATGGAAGTGTAATTAATTGATCGATTATCAATGAAAGTGGTGTGATCATTGATGGCTAAATTAAATGTGAAGTTATTAAAGAATTTAACGTTGATCATTTTATGGTAGTTTAAAAAATTGAATTAAAATCGATAAGATAAAAAAGATAAAATCGATAAGATAAAAAAAAAATGTCTTTGAAATTAAATGATCAACTGAAATAATCATTATTTAGAACTTATCGATTTACTGATAAAAAAAATGAATTAAAATCAGTAAGATAAAAAAATGTCTTTGACACTAAATAATCAACTGAAATAATCATTATTTAGAACTTATCAATTTACTGATAAGAAAATTGTAATTAAAATCGATAAGATAAAAAGAGAAGGTATATGCATTTTCGATACTAAATGATCAATTGTGACAATCATTATTTGGCAATTATCAATTTACTGATAAGAAAATTGTAATTAAAACTGATAAGATAGATCAATTGAGATAATCATTATTTAGAAATTATCAATTTACTGATAAAAAAATTGTAATTAAAATTGATAAGATAAAAAGAGAAGGTATATGCATTTTCGATACTAAATGGTCAATTGTGACAATCATTATTTAGAAATTATCAATTTGCTGATAAAAAAATTGTAATTAAAATTGATAAGATAGATCAATTGAGATAATCATTATTTAGGAATTATCAATAGATCAATTGAAATAATCATTATTTGGCAATTATCAATTTACTGATAAGAAAATTGTAATTAAAATCGATATGCATTAAAATGTCTTCGATACTAAATGATCAGTGGAGACAATCATTACTTAGAAATTATCAATTCACTGATAACAATTATCAAAAAGCTAGGTCATATTTTTTTGTTTAATTATCAATGTAATTTTCTAAATTCTAGCAAAATTTTAATCTAATTAAATTAATGAAATCAATTATTTTTTATGATCTGTAATAGAAAGATTAATTCATCAACGAAAAAAAAAACTTCAGTACAAAATTAAAATTAAAAAATGAATTTCACAGAGAGAGAGAGAGAGAGAGAGAGAGAAAGGAAAGAGAAATTAATTTGAAGTTTTCCTTCATTTGCTATCTTCACTTGATTTCTTGTTAAATGATATGATCATTAATTGATTAGTTATTTTTAATTATCATTGCAATTATTTGTGGAAATTTTTTTCCTCTCTCTCTCTCTCTCTCTCTCTCTCTCTGTGAAATTTATTTTTTAATTTTAATTTTGTATTGAAGTTTCTTATAACAATTATAATCTGAAAATGCAATTAATTACTTTTTGTGCTTTCCTATTTACTATTTTATAAATTTCAATGTAACAAAAATAAATTTTAATTTGCATTAAAAAAAAAATTATTAATTTTGATTAATAATTTCTATATCTATTGCTGATCTTAAATTATTTTTAATTATTTAATAATTATATTCTCTAAAAATGCAATTACTCTTTATGCTAAACTAAAAAAAAAATTTTTTTAAATTTTAATTATGCCTAAATGTTATAACTTTTATTAATTTACTAATTTATTTATTGTGACATTTTGATGATTAATTTTATTACATTTCAATTTTTATACACAAAAAAATAAAAAAAAAAAATAAAAATGCTATAAAAAATTTTGTGTAATAAATTTTTTCTTTTTTTTCTTTTTTTTGAAATTCTTTTTATTAGTAAATTAATAAAAGTTATAACATTGAAGTCATAATTAAAATTTTATCTTATTTTTTTTTCAATATTATTAAATTTTTTACTGATATTAAAGAAAGTAATAATAATAATAATAATAATAATAAGAAGAAGAAGAAGAAGAAGAAGAATAGTAATAATAATAATAAGAAGAAGAATAAGAATAATAATAATAATAACAATAGTAATAATAATAATAATAATAATAATAATAATAATAATAATAACAATAATAATAATAACAATAATAGTAATAATTATAATAATAATAATAATAATAATAATAATAAGAAGAAGAATAATAGTAATAATAATAATAAGAATAATAATAATAATAATAATAATAATAATAATAATAATAATAATAATAATAATAATAATAATAAGAAGAAGAAGAAGAAGAAGAATAATAATAATAATAATAATATTTTAAGAATAATAATAATAATATTTTAAGAATGCTAAAACATTTACATGTCAAACATTGGAATGTCAAACATGTGCAGCAATTTTACTTAGACGTATCAAACAAATCGGAATGGTACCAACAGATTTACAAGTTTCAATTCCACTTCCTAAATTTATTGATTCAAGATATTGTCGAAGACTTCGTTTTCTTAAACCATTTTCTGTTAGCTAATTTCTTTTTTTTCATGCATTTTAAAAAAAAAAATGAAATTTTAAATTTTTTTTAAAAAAAAAAATTAATTTTTTCATGCATTTAAAAAAAAAAAAGGAAATTTGAATAATTTCTTTAAAAAAAAAATTATTATAAATCTTTTTTTTTTTATTTTTATTTTAAAAATAATTAAATGATAATATTTGATAAATTTTTAGATACCAAATCCACCTCAACCATCTTATTATATGAAAGCATTAATTGAACGTGGTTTACAATATGCTGGTGGTATTTTAAGACGACAACAAATTGTATGCATTTGCATTTAATTTCATTACAATTTAAAAAAAAAAATTATAAATTATTAACTTCTAAAAAAAAATATTCATTTATAATTTATTATTTAAATTATAAAATTTAACAAAAAAAAATTGTTAAAAATTTATTATATACTAAAAAAAAAAAAAAAAAAGGAGGTGGAAGGAATTCTTATTGTAAAGAAAAAAGAAAAAAGATTTTTTTTTTTTTTTTAAATTTTTGTAAAAATTCTTTCGCAAAAAAAAAAATTTATTACAAAAATGTAATTTGAAATGTTTTTTTTTTTTTCCTTTTAATTTACAAATAAATTTTAAACAGAATTTTTTTTATTTATTTTTTTTTTTTTGTTTTTCCTTGCAGACTCATCCTGCAAGGAATCGTTTTTGGTCACCAACACAGTCACCTGCACCTCTTCTACCACCACGACCACTACCGCCACCACCACCACCGCCACCACCACCACCACCACCACCACCACCACCGCCACCACCACCACCGCCACCTATATTTCATCCTCCTCCACCTCCTCCTCATATTCAACCACAACAATTTCAATTTCCTTTTTTTCAAACCCAACATCTATCACAGGTTTAATGATAATTTCAATCTTATATATACATTTCAAAAAAAAAAAAGAAATATGATAAATACAAAAATAATATATAGGATAAAATTACTTTTTTACAGTATCCAAAAATAATACATAGGATAAAATTACTTTTTTACAGTATCCAAAAATAATATATAGGATAAAATTACTTTTTTACAGTATCCAAAAATAATATACAGGATAAAATTACTTTTTTACAGTATCCAAAAATAATATATAGGATAAAATTACTTTTTTACAGTATCCAAAAATAATATATAGGATAAAATTACTTTTTTACAGTATCCAAAAATAATATATTGGATAAAATTACTTTTTTACAGTATCCAAAAATAATATACTGGATAAAATTACTTTTTTACAGTATCCAAAAATAATATATAGGATAAAATTACTTTTTTACAGTATCCAAAAATAATATATAGGATAAAATTACTTTTTTACAGTATCCAAAAATAATATATAGGATAAAATTACTTTTTTACAGTATCCAAAAATAATATACAGGATAAAATTACTTTTTACAGTATCCAAAAATAATATATAGGATAAAATTACTTTTTACAGTATCCAAAAATAATATATAGGATAAAATTACTTTTTTACAGTATCCAAAAATAATATATTGGATAAAATTACTTTTTTACAGTATCCAAAATAATATACTGGATAAAATTACTTTTACAGTATCCAAAATAATATATAGGATAAAATTACTTTTACAGTATCCAAAAATAATATATAGGATAAAATTACTTTTTTACAGTATCCAAAAATAATATACTGGAGAAAATTACTTTTTTACAGTATCCAAAAATAATATATAGGATAAAATTACTTTTTTACAGTATCCAAAAATAATATACTGGAGAAAATTACTTTTTTACAGTATCCAAAAATAATATATAGGATAAAATTACTTTTTACAGTATCCAAAAATAATATATAGGATAAAATTACTTTTTTACAGTATCCAAAAATAATATATAGGATAAAATTACTTTTTTACAGTATCCAAAAATAATATGTAGGATAAAATTACTTTTTTACAGTATCCAAAAATAATACATAGGATAAAATTACTTTTTTACAGTATCCAAAAATAATATATAGGATAAAATTACTTTTTTACAGTATCCAAAAATAATATATAGGATAAAATTACTTTTTTACAGTATCCAAAAATAATATATTGGATAAAATTACTTTTTTACAGTATCCAAAAATAATATACTGGATAAAATTACTTTTTTACAGTATCCAAAAATAATATATAGGATAAAATTACTTTTTTACAGTATCCAAAAATAATATATAGGATAAAATTACTTTTTTACAGTATCCAAAAATAATATATAGGATAAAATTACTTTTTACAGTATCCAAAAATAATATATAGGATAAAATTACTTTTTTACAGTATCCAAAATAATACATAGGATAAAATTACTTTTTTACAGTATCCAAAAATAATATATAGGATAAAATTACTTTTTACAGTATCCAAAAATAATATATAGGATAAAATTACTTTTTACAGTATCCAAAAATAATATACTGGAGAAAATTACTTTTTACAGTATCCAAAATAATATATAGGATAAAATTACTTTTTACAGTATCCAAAAATAATATATAGGATAAAATTACTTTTTTACAGTATCCAAAAAATAATATATAGGATAAAATTACTTTTTTACAGTATCCAAAAATAATACATAGGATAAAATTACTTTTTACAGTATCCAAAATAATATATAGGATAAAATTACTTTTTACAGTATCCAAAAAATAATATATAGGATAAAATTACTTTTTTACAGTATCCAAAAATAATATACAGGATAAAATTACTTTTTTACAGTATCCAAAAATAATATACTGGAGAAAATTACTTTTTTACAGTATCCAAAAATAATATATAGGATAAAATTACTTTTTTACAGTATCCAAAAATAATATATAGGATAAAATTACTTTTTTACAGTATCCAAAAATAATATATAGGATAAAATTACTTTTTTACAGTATCCAAAAATAATATATAGGATAAAATTACTTTTTTACAGTACCCAAAAATAATATATAGGATAAAATTACTTTTTTACAGTATCCAAAAATAATATAGAGGATAAAATTACTTTTACAGTATCCAAAAATAATATATAGGATAAAATTACTTTTTACAGTATCCAAAAATAATATATAGGATAAAATTACTTTTTTACAGTATCCAAAAATAATATATTAGATAAAATTACTTTTTTACAGTATCCAAAAATAATATATAGGATAAAATTACTTTTTTACAGTATCCAAAAATAATATACTGGATAAAATTACTTTTTTACAGTATCCAAAAATAATATACAGGATAAAATTACTTTTTTACAGTATCCAAAAATAATATATAGGATAAAATTACTTTTTTACAGTATCCAATGCAAGAATCATGGTTTCCATCTATTTTTAATACGGTACACAGTAATGGAAAAGGTGCAGCAATTTATCAGAGTAATGGTGAAATTTCAATAAATAGTGGAGGAAGTGGAACAGATAGTTCATCACAACATACCAAAAAGAAAGTTAAAAGAAAAGCTGAACCACCTGTTTTAGGTTTGTTATCATTTTCATTTATTTTAAATATTTTTTATTAATTAATAAAAAAAAAGAAAAAAAAACATTTTACTTTTAATCTTTTGCTACAAATTTATTAGATTAAAACCACCTGTTTTAGGTTTGTTATCATTTTCATTTATTTTAAATATTTTTTGTTAATTAATAAAAAAAAAAAACATTTTACTTTTAATCTTTTGCTACAAATTTATTAGATTAAAACCACCTGTTTTAGGTTTCTTATCATTTTCATTTATTTTATATTATTTTTTGTTAATTAATAAAAAAAAAAACATTTTACTTTTAATCTTTTGCTACAAATTTATTAGATTAAAACCACCTGTTTTAGGTTTGTTATCATTTTCATTTATATTAAATATTTTTTGTTAATTAATAAAAAAAAAACATTTTACTTTTAATCTTTTGCTACAAATTTATTAAATTAAACCACCTGTTTTAGGTTTGTTATCATTTTCATTTATTTTAAATACTTTTTGTTAATTCGTTTTTTTTTAAAAAAAAAGAGACATTAAAAGGAAAGCTGATCCACCTGTTTAGTTTTACTGTAATTTTCATTTTTATTTAATTTTATAGATTATTAAATACTATTTGTCAATTAATAAAAAAAAAAAAAAAAAAAAAAAAAAAAAAAAAACATTTTGTTCTTAATCTTTTGCTACAAATTTATTAAATTAAATTAGCATATGTTACTACTAAAATTTGTAACGAAATATACATTCTTCGTAACTAAAAATTTATTAAATTAAAATTAAAAAAATTTAAAAATTAAAAAATATACTATTAAAATTTGGAACTAAATACATACACTTACATTTATTATTTAAAGCTCTCATACTACAAATTTATTAAATTAAAATTAGCATGTATTACAAAAATTTTATGTACTACTAAAATTCATAACTAAAACGAAATATACATTTTTCGTAACTAAAAATTTATTAAATTAAAATTAAAAAAATTTAAAAATTAAAAAATGTACTACTAAAATTCATAACTAAATAAATACATACACTTACAATTATTATTTAAATCTTTCATACTAATTTATAATGAATGTTTGAAATAATTTGTCTAATTTTCATCGCATTTATAAAACAATTATATTTTCATTTCAAAAAAAAAAAAAATTTTTTTTTCCTTACATTATTGATTAATTTTATATAAAATTAAACAAATGTGATGATTTGTTTGAAAAAAAAAATTAATAGTGAATTATATTATGGTATAAAATTTAATTAAATAAAAAATTAACTTATAAATTAAATTATTAATATAAATTATAACTAATTTTATCTAATTTATATTTTATTAATATATTTAATTTTAGGAATACGTTATACAATATCATACGTACGACATGGTGAAATAGATGATGATAATATGTTAACATCATAAAATTTAATTAAATAAAAAATTAACTTATAAATTAAATTGTTAATATAAATTATAACCAATTTTATTTTATCTAATTTATATTTTATTAATATATTTAATTTTAGGAATACGTTATACAATATCATGCGTACGACATGGTGAGAAATAGATGATGATAATATGTTTGACATCATAAAATTTAATTAAATAAAAAATTAACTTATAAATTAAATTATTATATAAATTAGAACTAATTTTATCTAATTTATATTTTATTAATATATTTAATTTTAGGAATACGTTATACAATATCATGCGTACGACACGGTGAAATAGATGATGATAATATGTTAACATTATGTGGTACCTGTTGGACATGGCGTAAATTACCACCTGATTATTTTCCACCTTTAATTAATGAACTTGTTTGCTCAAAAGAAAATCAAGGTCATTGTCTATCTGGTAATATTTCATATTTAATCATTTATAATTATTTTTTTTTTTAAAAAAAAAAAACTTACTTTTTATTATTTATAACAGATTTTTTTAATAATCAAATTTATTTACTTTCTTTAAATTATAAAATTATTAATATCAATGAAAAAAAATCAATAAAAATAATCAAATTTATTTACTTTTTTTGAATTATAACTTTTTATTATTTATAACAGATTTTTTAATAATCAAATTTATTTACTTTCTTTAAATTATAAAATTATTAATATCAATAAAAAAAAAAAAAAAGGAAAAAGTAATTTATTAATTCATTGTTTATATAACATTTTTATCAATCGCTCTATTTTTGTTTTTTGAAAGAAAAATTTTTGAAATAATAAATTACAATAATGTAAGAAATACACATAAATGTACATTTTTTTTTTTTTTTCAACAAAACTTGATTTTTCTTTTCTCTCTCTTTTTACTTTTTTCCTTTTTTTTTTCTTTTCGACAATCAGATGAAATTACTTTAGTAATTTTCAATTTCGCTTAATTGGAATTATTTTGTGTAGCATATTATTGCAAATTCAAATGCATGCTCATCCATATATTTTTTCATTTAAAATTTAACATTTTTTAAAAAAAAAGAAAACAAAATTTATTGAAACATGCTAAAAATTATTTTAATCAATTTTAATTAATCTAAACAAAAAAAAAAAAAAAGTGAGAAAATATTTTAAATGCTATTCAAATATTTTTCTTTTTACTTCATGAAAACATTTTTTATTCTATAAATTTATTTTTACTATTAAAATTTGTAGAAAATTTTTCATTTTTTTTTTTTAAATATATCTCAATTATATAATTAAAATATATTCTGAGATGAGGAGACAAAAAAAAATATAAAAAATAATAATAATAATAATTTTAAGGTTGGGGTAAATGTCAACAAAAATATCGTAATTTTGATGTGCTACGAAATGTTAATGGAAATTGGCAACCAACAACGATCTCAACAGCAACATGCTGTGATTGTCGAATTCGAGCAGGCACTGAAATACATCCACTTGTTATTGGCAAAAGGCAAAATTAATCTAAAATTTTATTTTTGTTTTTTTTTCCCTTCAAAAATTATAAAAAAATATTTCAAATTAGGCATTTTATGATATAAATATTATTGTTTAAATATGAATTTTCTTTTTTTTTTTTTTTATATATTATTATATGTTAAATAAATTATCTAAAATTTTGTGTTTTTTGTTTTTTTCTCTTTAAAAAATTATAAAAAAATATTTCAAATAAGGCATTTTATGATATAAATATTATTGTTTAAATATGAATTTTCTTTTTTTTTATATATATATATTATTATATGTTAAATAAATTATCTAAAATTTTGTTTTTGTTTTTTTTCTTTTCAAAAATTATAAAAAAATATTTCAAATTAGGCATTTTATGATATAAATATTATTGTTTAAATATGAATTTTCTTTTTTTTTTTTCTCTTTAAAAATTATAAAAAAATATTTCAAATTAGGCATTTTATGATATAAATATTATTGTTTAAATATGAATTTTCTTTTTTTTTTTTTTTATATATTATTATATGTTAAATAAATTATCTAAAATTTTGTGTTTTTTGTTTTTTTCTCTTTAAAAAATTATAAAAAAATATTTCAAATAAGGCATTTTATGATATAAATATTATTGTTTAAATATGAATTTTCTTTTTTTTTTTTTTTAATATTATTATATGTTAAATAAATTATCTAAAATTTTGTGTTTTTTTTTCTCTTTAAAAATTATAAAAAAAATATTTCAAATTAGGCATTTTATGATATAAATATTATTGTTTAAATATGAATTTTCTTTTTTTTTAAATATTATTATATGTTAAATAAATTATCTAAAATTTTGTGTTTTTTTTTTCTCTTTAAAAATTATAAAAAAAATATTTCAAATTAGGCATTTTATGATATAAATATTATTGTTTAAATATGAATTTTCTTTTTTTTTTTTTAATATTATTATATGTTAAATAAATTATCTAAAATTTTGTGTTTTTTTTTTCTCTTCAAAAATTATAAAAAAATATTTCAAATTAGGCATTTTATAATATAAATAATAGGATGTTGATATTTTATTATTGCTTAAATATGAATTTTTTTTTCTTTTATATTATTATATGTTAGATAAATTATCATCATTTTGTTTTTTTTTTATTTTTGAATTTTTCAAAATTTTTTTTTTCAATGAATTTATTGTTAAATTAGCTTCACGATTAATTAGCAATAATATTGTTGCTAATTAAATAGTACGAAGATAAATAATGCTACTAGAATCATAGAAAAAAACAAAAGAAAAAAACGGTTATTTAAAATTTCAAAAAAAAAAAGGAAAAATTTATACTTATAATTCGAGATTTATCAATTGCAATAAACTTCCATTCACATATATGATAATTGATAATAATTAATAGTTAACAATAACAATAATAATAGTAATAATAATAATAATAATTTTTTATCTAATTTTTATCTCTCATAAATCTAACATAACTTTGTTATCTTGATTTATTTTTGCTTTTTTTTTGAATTTACTTAAATTGCATACGAAATAGCAAATAAATAAAAATTGATAAAATTATTGTAGTGGATAATTGGTTAATAATAATAAGTGATAATTGATAATAATTGATAGTTAACAATAACAATAATAATAATAGTAATAATAATAATAATAATAATAATAATAATAATAATAATAATAATAATAATAATAATAATAACAATAATAATAATAATAATAATAATAATAATAATAATAATAATAGTAATAATAATAATAATAATAATAATAATAATAATAATAATAATAATAATAATAATAATAATAATAATAATAATAATAATAATAATAACAATAATAATAATAATAATAATAATAATAATAATAATAATAATAATAATAATAATAATAATAATAATAATAATAATAATAATAATAATAATAATAATAATAATAATAATAATAATAATAATAATAATAATAATAATAATAATAATAATAATAATAATAATAATAATAATAATAATAATAATAATAATAATAATAATAATAATAATAATAATAATAATAATAATAATAATAATAATAATAATAATAATAATAATAATAATAATAATAATAATAATAATAATAATAATAATAATAATAATAATAATAATAATAATAATAATAATAATAATAATAATAATAATAATAATAATAATAATAATAATAATAATAATAATAATAATAATAATAATAATAATAATAATAATAATAATAATAATAATAATAATAATAATAATAATAATAATAACAATAATAATAATAATAATAATAATAATAATAATAATAATAATACATTACCAGCATATTTTTTGATAACAATATCATCACAGATGAAATATTTTTGATAAGTAAACATAGGTAAATATTTCCAAAATGAAATTAATTCATTAACCTGTCCAATAATACTTATTGCAGTTTCTTTTCCAATACAGCCTTTTTTTTCTTTTTTTCTTGATATAAAATGTTAAAATTTCAAGATATTCTAATAAAAATAATTACATTTAACCTATTATTTCTGTTTACCAATAAAATTTTTATGCATTTTCTAAAATTAAAATTAGAATGCTTATTTCTTATTGTTTTTTTTTTTTCAAATTAATATTTAATTGCTTTTTGAAAAGTAAAATTTATCAAATTGTAAATGTAAGTTTCATATAAATTAAAAGAAAACAAAAAAACAAAATAAATTCCAATGATGATTTTTCTTTTTTTCAAGCAATATTTCCTAAAAAAAAAAAATTAATAACTTAAATGATTTCTGATTTGATATATTAAATATTTCTTGTTTGATATATTAAATTGTATTGTAAAAGATATCAAAAAATAAATTAATAAATAAACATAACATATTTTCTCATCGTTTAATCAAATTTTATTAACATTTACAGTACTGAATTATTTACAAACATATTCAAATTATGAATAGCATATGATAAATTTGTCTTATTACTTTTTTTTGAATTAGTTAAATATTTCAACGATATCAATCTTACATATTACTATTGCTTGTCAATAATTGATACCTTAACAATTGTATCATTAAAGTTATGAATATAAACTCATTTATCATTTCAACTAATTAATTAATTAATAATACAAATTAAACATATCCAAATTACGTCATTAATTGATACCTTAACATTAAAGTTATGAATATAAACTCATTTATCATTTCAACTAATTAATTAATTAATTAATTAATAATACGAATTAATCATATCAAATTATGTCGTAAATAAATAAATAATAAAATAAAGTCTAAGCTATTATTTCGATCAATTTGAAATTAATTTTACATAACAATAGGAAAAGTATTCCACTGTTTGATCTTTGGCATATGATAAATTTGTCTTATTACTTTTTTTTGAATTAGTCAAATATTTCAACGATATCAATCTTACATATTACTATTGCTTGTCAATAATTGATACCTTAACAATTGTATCATTAAAGTTATGAATATAAACTCATTTATCATTTCAACTAATTAATTAATTAATAATACAAATTAATCATATCAAAATTACGTCATTAATTGATACCTTAACATTAAAGTTATGAATATAAACTCATTTATCATTTCAACTAATTAATTAATTAATTAATTAATAATACAAATTAATCATATCAAATTATGTCGTAAATAAATAAATAATAAAATAAAGTCTAAGCTATTATTTCGATCAATTTGAAATTAATTTTACATAACAATAGGAAAAGTATTCCACTGTTTGATCTTTGGCATATGATAAATTTGTCTTATTACTTTTTTTGAATTAGTCAAATATTTCAACGATATCGATCTTACATATTACTATTGCTTGTCAATAATTGATACTTTAACAATTGTATCGTTAAAGTTATGAATATAAACTCATTTATCATTTCATATTTTAATTAATTAATTAATAATATAAATTAAACATACCAAATTAGTCATTAATTGATACTTTAACATTAAAGTTATGAATATAAACTCATTTATCATTTTAACTAATTAATTAATTAATTAATAATACAAATTAAACATACCAAATTAGTCATTAATTGATACTTTAACATTAAAGTTATGAATATAAACTCATTTATCATTTCAACTAATTAATTAATTAATTAATTAATAATACAAATTAAACATACCAAATTAGTCATTAATTGATACCTTAACATTAAAGTTATGAATATAAACTCATTTATCATTTTAACTAATTAATTAATTAATTAATAATACAAATTAATCATATCAAAATCACATCATTAATAAACAAACAAATAATAAACTAAAGTCTAAGCTATTATTTCGATCAATTTGAAATTAATTTCAACATTTGTACAACAATTAGGCCGAGAAGTATTCCACGGTTTGAGCATCGTAAATTAATTTAACTTTGAAGAATGTAAACAGACAACAGTTGGTGGTAATATTTTGTTTTTTTGATATTTTGTCTAACATTATTGATTTCTTTTTTTTTTTCTTTGCTGAATAATTCGTAATTATATGATTTAGAATAAAAGAATAATCTTTTAATAAAGGGAATACTTGAAGAAAATAAAGGGAATACTTAAAAAAAAGACTAATAGTCGTAATGATTGTAAATTCTGTTTTAATTAGTTGTAAAATAATACAGTGATGTAAACATTATGATTGTTGAGATTAAAATTAAGAATGGTTAAGATATAATTAGATAAATTTGCTATATTAAATAATCATAAAGAAGAAATTAGAGATAATTTGAATGATACGAAAAATGATTAACTATTAGATATTTCGTGCAATAATTATGAATTAAAAAATTTTCTTAAATGAATTATCATATATTTGTAGCTGGTGCGACTTAGTGATTGCAATCTTTCCGGTTGCATCATTTCCGTTATTCGTGCCACACTACTAAATACATTCATTTCGTCCAGTTTATTTCCGGTTACATAATAATCAATCATTCATTACTTTGTTAACTCATTCATTGCGTCTATCCT